TGTCGTACGTGCTCTAACGTTGCAATATATTTCGAAAAACATCTTATCAAGAAAATTGCACTTTATTGCATAGTGAAAAGTTGTGCATCGAATTGTCATCAGGCAATCGTGCAGTTATTGCAGATTATTCGCGTGACTTGAAACATGGAAAAACTAACTTTAATATGTAAAATTATTGCATTTTTTTAAAAAGTTTTAATTCCGTACCTTTCTTTAGATTAGAAGACACTCAAAATCTCTCTCCCATTGGACTTTGTTTGATTTCTATCATCTCTCAAGAAAACACGCAATTTTTTTCCTTCCCTTATAGTAGCGGTAATAAGCTTATACAGTTGATACAGTTAGCATAAGGAGAAGGCAGATTTAACCTTTTTTTTTTTGAGAAAAGTGCATACTCACTGTAAACAAGAGTTGAGCTTCACTTTTTACAATACACAAAGATGAATATTAAGTTGCTTAAGGCCTTGCGATTTGAATTTTAATTTAGATGAACGCCCGCTGATATAACAGTTTTTAATTACTAATACCTTTAGCCATTTGACGCAATTCCCTAAAAGTTGCTTATAGCTAATTATCGCTTGTTTCTCGTTCCCATCGTGCGTCTGCCTGACTATCTCTCAATTATTCAATCGGTCCTTGCCACTTATGGATGGATTGTTGGAACCACAGTCGAAAACTATTTGTTCCATCCCATAATTGGAAAAAAACTCAAGTTTATCACATATAAAATTGCTTCCAAAAAACCTGAATTCAACTCTGAAGACTCTCGTCCATTATTCATATCTTGATGAAATTTGCTTGGAAAATTTATAAAAACGTCAAAGGATGAGAAAATAAGGCGGGAAAAGTGAGACTAATATAAAAAGAGATTTTTTTTTTTTTTTTTTGTTAAGTAAATAAAATGCCTACCAAAACGTATGTAGCTGTAATAAGATTGTGTATCATATTCGCTTTAAACTAAATATATTTGATTTCACTTCAAGTCAATCTAACATATACTGCGTTTTCTGGATTATGGTAAAAGAACACGTACATCTACATCTTCGTGAATACCGCAATTGGAAAAAGAACTTTTCCATACGAGGAGCTTAACTCTTGATTTAATTTTATTTTCAACTATTTCCCAGTTTTTTTTTTTTTTTTTTCATACATATGCATAAGTTGGAATTGCATTTTGCGGTAATTTTAAGATTAAAGACTGAACAATAAGAAGAAGATGAAACGGGAAAAACGGAAAATCACTGAAACATGTTTTCGTTCAATTATAAATGAAGCAAGCATTTGAGAGGTTAAATAAATCATAAGTAAATTGTTGCTTCATTCAATAATGTGGATGTGTAAATGCGTTTATTTTTTTTGTCATCATCGGATTGTTCAATAGTTTGCCCCATGCATATATATGCGTATACGTATACGTATTATTGTATATCATCATACATTTGTTATTCTCTCGTTTCAATGCATCGAATTTAATTTTAATGCTCGATATTTTATCTCTTTTTATTTATTTATTTATTTTTTTTTTATTTTTTTTAATAATATTTCAGTGTCGTTACTTTAATTTGTGTGTGCAACATGAATATTTGAATAACGCAATCAACAATCACAGAGTCGCTTAAATCTACTGAGGAGAGAAAAATTGCTTTGCTTCTTCAAGTCTGTTAACGTACAAAAAAGAAAAAAAAAAAAAAAATAAAAATGAAAAACAAACTGTAAAGCAATATAGAAGAAGAGAGAGCAAAATGATGATATCTCTCTGCTATGTGCTATTGCTACTGCATAAAATATTAAAAAAAAAAAAAAAACAAAAAAAAAAAAAAAACAAAACGAGTGCCAACATAACTAACTAACTTTACATTGTAGAATTTAAGGAAGAACTATTCTTGTTATTGTGCAAAGATATTCAGTGTCTCTCTGGGTGTCACAATAAAAAAGTTCGTTAATAAATCAGTTACTAGTGATTGAAGTGTGTGGTAAGAATATTTCGAACGTCAATAGAAGGAGTAAGCTCCTAGCTAAAGCATTAGCAGACGAAAAGGGGCCGAAAGGTCGGGGGAGTGAAAGAGAAAGAGAAACAGAAAATCACAACAGCTCACAATAGTCACAGTTAAAGGGATATTTAAATAAAAAATTAAACAAAAAAAACAAAATATTTTCAAATAAATAAAAAATAAAAAAAAAAAAAAAAGAACTGAATTGAAGTTAGAGCAAAGAATAGTAGTTTACAGCAATTGTCAGTTTTTAAAACGTAAATAACAACAGCAACAACAACATAAAACAGCACAAGCACCAACAGTCACAACAATAAAAACAACAGCGAGCAAAAAAAGGAAAAACGGAAAATTGTCACAATTGTATTCAATTTGATTAATTATTCACCATGGCCGATGATGAAATCCTGTTCGATGATGTTTATGAATTATGCGAAGTTATTGGCAAGTAAGTATATAACGAGGGAGTTATAGAGAGAGAGCGAGAGATGGAGATATGGGGGAGTGAGAGTATATGCATTGCTGCTTGCCTTTATTAAAAATTAATATTAATTTTAACTGTTGTTTATTTATTTATTTTTTTTTTTATAAATTTTCTTTAAAGGGGACCATTTTCTATAGTACGTCGTTGTATACATCGCGAATCTAACCAACAGTTTGCCGTTAAAATAGTGGATGTAGCGAAATTCACTGCTAGTCCTGGTTTAAGCACTGCTGGTAAGCGTGGGCACTTATGCTTTCAAATGTAAAAGATAAACAAACACACACACATATATACACACACACAAACACACACACACATATACACACACACAAACACCCATACACATTTATACAAAGCGAGAAAGAGACAACGAGTTAAAATAGCCTTGTTATATATTACTTGGTATCCTCTCGGGGTTATGAATACTAAATATCTATGTGTATGCAGACGTATGCGAATGTGCACGCGGTTATATAGGCAAGCATATAGGCTTTTCTGGCTGCTCAATTATTTACAAAATTTCGTCCTTGCTTTGCTTGTTACAACACAACTGCCCAACAATATGGACAAACATCAAAAACATGTTCTAATTATCCTCAATTTCTTGTTTTCTTCTTTCTTTTTTTTTTTTTTTTTTTTTTTTTTTTTTTGCGTTTTTTTCAACAATAAAGAACACTTTTTTTTAGAAATATTTAACATTAGTTCGTACATTCATATTCATATATAGTGTTTTCATAGCTTTTCAGTTACATATATAGGGAAATGGTACAGAGAGGTAACGATCGATAATCGTGTATTTCGAAATTCTTTTGTGATTTAAATCAACTTTACGAAATATGACAACAAAAGTTCTCGTTTGTTGTCCTTTTTTTTATTTGACATGAAGTGACAGAGCAAAATCTAGGATTTCAGTTTGAATAATTGATTGGATTGCTTTGTATGTCAAAAGATCTAGTTTTAGGTAATGAATAATTGGTATTTGGTGTGTGTGTGTGTGTGTGTGTGTGTGTGTGTGTGTGAGTGAGTGGACAACAAGTTTGTATTGAAATTCCGTTAAATGTTGTTTGCAATTGTTTTTCCGCTAGCATAAATGTCGAACATGTTAAGTTCACTAATTCAGCTCAAATGTTTTGCTGATAACTTAAGGAACTACACTACTACATTGTGATCTATGTGATTCATACGAAAGCCAATTATAGTTCAAAAGAAAGTTTTTGAAAAGAGGCAAAAATTTACGGAAACGAAAATATTGTGCTTCTCACTCATATGTCAATCAAATCAATGCCAATCATGACGGTTAGTTGACTATTGCAATAATTGGATACACTGTTCACATTGAACCGAAAAAAGGAAAAATAAATAAATAACTTTGCATCTCAATACGAATGAAGAGAAATAAAACACAAACTTCCACCTATTCATCGTCTCATGCATTCGTCATTTTAGGACCGACCTTCCCAAGCTTTAACTACATATATATATATATATATAGAATCTATTTTAGTCATTTTATCATCTCGACAATTTTTCAACATTTTATCTATACTGATGGCGTCAAATTGTTTATATTCAATTATTGTTACCCAAAAAAAACTTTAGTTGAAATGTTGTTCATCTAAAATTTGATGGAAAAATACTTACTTCTCCTATCATTTAAAGCAATAAAATTTAACTAATTATTTTTTTAAATTTTCCAAAAGGCTTATGGTTGTTATAAAAAATAAAAATTTGCAAAAATTTTCTACGAAAACTTCACAAAGTCAGGGAGAAAAGAAAACCGGTAAACCAGAGACATTATCTCACTTTCTTCCTTTTTTCTAAATTTCTTATTTAATTTCTATATCATCATAATTCACAGTTAATAAAAAGTATATTAATTAACCGAGATTTTTGTAACCAATCTGCTTCCAACAATCTGTTGCTTTCCGGTCGTACCGATGTTATTGTGCATATTTACCACATTTACATAGCTTATAACTTGGAATATTATTTTTTTATTTTTTTTATTTTTTCATTTTTCATATATTTTTCCGTTTTTCTGTCATCACTCGTTTGCTGGCTTATTTATTTATTTTCCTTTTTTTATTGCAGAGTTTTGAATTATTACTGTCGTTACTATTAGTGGTAGAGTGTGAATGTATATGTGTTATATACATGTGCGTTTATATATGCGTATGTGGTTACACACGGTAGTAACCGACAATGACGACTGTGTTGGTGTGTGTCAATTTAACAAAAACTTTACTCATTGCTTTTTCCGTTTTCCTTCATTGTGTGTTATCATCGTCATCGTCATCGTCATCATCATCATCATCATCATCATCATCGTCGTCATCATAATCATCATCATCATAATCATCATCATCATCATTTTCATTACGAAAGTAATATCATAGTCAACGTCACCATTGAGCTTAATGTGTCTGACATTCCAGAGGCGGGCGTTACATATTTCAATTAATATGTATATAGATATATATATACATACATACGTACATATATATATATATATATATATATATATATATTTATAGTTATGTATTAAAACACACATGTACGTATGTATGTATATATGTATGTGTGTGTTTCATATATGTTAGAAAACAAGAATTTCTTCTATGCTCTTTGCTGTCCTATTAGAGGTGGTTGCGCTCTATCGCATCTATTCGTCTAGCTGTCTGTCTGAATTGCGATGCCGTTATGTTATGCATGTGTTTGCCTGTTTTTCCTTTCTGCTAATTTTACTTTGAATTATTAACTACAAATGTATATATGGGTCGCAAATGCTCTTTGTTGTTATTATTATTATTATTATTATTATTATTATTATTAATATTAGCTTTTCTGCCGCAATTATTAATTAAATTCCGAAGCGATTTTTCTTTTCTTCTTGCATTTTGGGATGTTAAGAAAAAGTAAAGCTAATTAAATGGCTTTCATTTGTTTCATTTCGATGCGAATGTATATAGTATTTGGCATGTGTCACAAGAATCATCATCTCGAAGCTTATCATATCTTTAAGGAATCTGTCTATGTGCAAATAAAATTATTATTACCCTTAAGCGATTTGTTTTATTGTCGCAGATAACGTTGTTAAAGCCAAAATAAATACGCTTTGGCGAGAGTTTATTTTACAAAGCAAAAGCTAATTGCTAGGGATTGCTAGAATTAAAATATGCTATAATTTTTGATTAGTGTTACAAAAAAAAAAAAAAAAAAAAAAAATACATTCAGTGAATGTTCGATCAATAAGAGAATAACATTTGCCCCACCCATTAGATTGCGACCATTAGCTGCTTAATCCTTTCTCTTCACTCACTTCTTTTTAATCGTGATCGAATTCCACGAACGGACGGCTGGATCACCGGAGTGATTGAACATGTTGACCTACTTTCAGTAAGAAACTCTTCAAGCTATGTTTTTATATATATATATATATTCCCCAACTGTTTTAATTTCTACTCGCAATAAATCCTAAGCAATCGTGTTGCGCTTGAAGCTTCAGGCACTGAAAGGATCCTTTAAATTAATATGAGCAGCAACAAACATTCTCAGGGTAGACCAGGTGAAAAGCTTCATCTCTGAAAAGCATGCACAAGCTGCAGCCACATATTTATTTTGTATACTTTTGATTTGCTTCCCTTCCATATGGAGCATTTCGAAAGCCTCCCTTCACTTTCTGATGTTTCCTGCACGACTATCTCGCGACTCTCCTTCGAATTTATTTCGCTTTTCTAAATCGTATATAGTTTTAGGACACGCTTCAGTAACACATATACTTGCGAACTGTCCAAATACGTTATCAAAAGGCTATCTTGTGGGCTGTGCCAATTACTCTGATCATATCGATAAGCACACATAACTTCATAAACTTCGACTCGATGTTCGTATAAAACCTTAGATGGTAAAGAGAATGTTACCACTGCATTGGACAGTTCGTGATGAAAAGAGTCTATCATTTGTGTGCGAATCGTAAGTAGGGGAGTTTTTCGGGAAAAATTCTATTTTTCGGTTCATTTGTATTAACTTAAGCTTGGGACTTGTATTTGTCTCGACACTTCCTTTTCTAACAATCAGGATACGTAAAGGAGATGTTCTTAATCATTGTCTAGAACTCTTTGTCAATTGAAATGTGTTACCTTGTCTGTCCCACTTTTAATGAACAAAGTGCAACAGAGTATAACTTACTCTATATAGAATCTTGAGTTTTGAAATATTCTTTGTCAGTGGTGACGATGCTCTAATTACAACAAATACAATTTTAAATTTATGCTACAAGTGGGCTAAAACCTTTATGAATTTCCTATATGATTATGTAACTGTTGTGATCGATCAAAAGACACGCCTACGTTCGATAAAATACTTAAAAAATTTATAATTTTTCAAATTTTTGTGCTTTACTGGTTGTTGGTGGTGTATGGTATTGAAATTTTTTTTTTTTTTTTAATTTATATAAATGAATTGTGCTTTCGCATTGGGCCGTGCTCTCGTATGTTTTAATTTATGCCAGCCAAGTGACAGCTACTCCGTCAATGTAGTGAACAATCCAAGCTAAGCGATTGTTTGAAATATCACTGTTTCCTAATCGTTGCTTTTTTCTTTTTTTTTTTTTTTCTTTTTGTATACAATTTATTTGAAAATTGATTCAATAAAATCATGAACTTACGACTCGTTGAGTTTGGTTGGTACTATTCTGATGAGATATAATGATATATCTAGAATTTTGGCCCCTTTTTTGCTTTATTCAATTTACTGATGACAGTTACGCGGCGTTACTATGCAAGCGTGTTACGTATTTGTTTTCAGCAAAATATGCTGAATTTAAAATATAAACATAATAAGTTTGTCAGGTTGCATCGTCCTTATTATTTCATTATCTATTTTAATTTTTACATGCATACATTTCCAATTACATTCACACACCCATATATATATATATATATATATTTACATTCATTAAGTTCGTATGACGGCATTATTAATTTAATTAGAACGAAATATATTCATTGCAGATTTGAAACGTGAGGCCACAATATGTCATATGCTAAAACATCCTCATATAGTGGAATTGTTAGAGACGTACAGTTCCGAGGGAATGCTTTATATGGTATTTGAATTGTAAGTTTGCAACGCTCTGCGTGCGTATTTAATTAATTTAGCCGCCATTTATATATGTAATGAGATATTTGTTCCTTAAATTATTTTAGCATGGAAGGCTCAGATCTTTGCTTCGAAGTGGTGCGGAGAGCTGTAGCTGGTTTCGTTTATAGCGAAGCGGTTGCTTGGTATGCATATATATAATCGGAATGAAATAATTTATTAATTAATTAAATAAATTTAACTTTGACTTTTTTTTTCTTATTTTGTTGCAGTCATTACATGAGGCAAATATTGGAAGCTTTGCGTTACTGCCATGAAAACGATATCTTGCATAGAGATGTAAGGCCAGCCTGTGCATTGCTGGCAACGGTAGATAATTCTGCACCTGTGAAATTGGGTGGTTTCGGGTCGGCCATACAATTGCCTGGTGGTCGCGAAACTATAGAAACTCATGGTAGGTAATCAAATAAATAAATTATTTAAAAGGCAAGCATGCAAAAAAAAAAAAAAAACTAATTAATTTATTTATTTTTTCTTTTTTTTGCTGTTTTTTTTTTTTTTTTTGTTAAGGTCGTGTTGGTTGTCCACACTATATGGCTCCAGAGGTTGTAACTCGTCGTTTATATGGTAAAGGCTGTGACGTTTGGGGGGCCGGTGTGATGTTGCATGTGCTACTCTCAGGTCGTTTACCATTTCTAGGTTCCGGAGTGCGATTACAACAGTCAATAGCTAGAGGCCGAATATCGGTGAATTATGATGGAATGAAATGATTTGGGAAAATGTTTGTTCTAAATTCTTTCATTTCACTTTAGTTTGAGGCTCCCGAATGGAAATCTATATCATCTTCAGCCAGAGATTTAGTATCGAAAATGTTGGCGGCTAATCCTCATCATAGGCTGTCAATAACAGAGGTTCTGGAACATCCATGGATAAGGGTAAATTTTGTTATGTTCTTACAGAATTATATAAGAAATCTAATCAAATCTACTTTTCTCTTAGGATCGTGATAAACTGCAGCGTCAGCATTTAGCTGATACGGTAGAAGAATTGAAACGTTATAATGCCCGACGTAAATTGAAAGGTGCTGTGCAGGCTATAGCCGGTGGAACAACATTAGATCCTCTCTTTGGTACTGATACCGACTCAAGTAAGTATTCTGTTTCTCTTTTTTTATATACCCAGAACAATCATTTTATCAAAATGTTTGCAGCCTCCAGAAGAAAGTATCAGAGACCCCATACAAGATATATATATACATATATATATATATATATATATATATATATTTGATCAGATTCTGATTCGATTTAAGTATGTCCGTCTGTCCGTCTGCCCGAAATACTGGACGTTTTTGCATCTAAAACTCGGTTGAGAGACACTCCTGCGATGCTATGATGCGATGCAAAGTGAGGACAGCTTTGTTTTCCAAAGGGAATAAAAAAATGGGCTTTTTCTCATTACTCTTGAAGTAAAGCAGATAAATCGACAAAAATTTAAATGTAAATTCTATGGACGATCTTGTCCTTACCCAATTTTGTGGCGTGTCATAGTTTCAATCTTTTCGAAACCCATGAAGCGCACAGAAGTAAGCTTCATAAAGAAACATAAAAATACATGGCCAGTTTTAGACTTAGAATACACCTAAACGCATCTGTCCGTTCATCTGTCCTTCTGTCCGTCCGTAATTGTGCAGTATCTGTGGTAAACATATAAACGTATTCGCAAAAGTGATACTACAACGCCCACACGCCTGTGCAATAAAAACAGTGAACACCTTTACTTTCCTTACATAAAGTAAAACACAGACACCGTATAAATTTCCACTTTTACTCTCAAAATGGAAAAAATCAGCCACTCCCACCCAATGTTATAGAATAAGAAAATTTAGTTTTTTTCCTTTTTTTTTAGGATAACGGTGATGGGTATAAAAGATTCGGCCACGACTGAATACAATTCTCTTATTTGTTTTTGGTTTTTTGTAACTTTGTCTTTTGCTTCGCATTTGTTGAAAATTCAATGTTTTTGTTTCAGTGCCTGTCGCCTCGGCTTCAGATATGTTAAACGAATGGGCTGATGAGGAAGCTGGTATTGAGGCGGTACAACGAATTTTGGACTGTTTAGATGATATATATGCTTTACAAGACGCTCATGTTGATCCTGATGTTTTACGTGATATGCTTAGAGATAATCGTTTGCATCAATTTTTGCAGGTGTGTTCTTTTTATTATTTTTTTTGATTTTTTTTTTTTTTTTGTGTATATTCGATTGACACAAATTTTATTGAAAAATTTTATAATTAATTTTTTTTTTTAGCTTTTTGATCGTATTAGTTCTACGGTTATGTCACCCTCCAGAGCACCGCCTGGCGATGCTGTATCACGGTGTCGTGATGTTATTGAAGTGTTATCATCACCGCCTTGCACCAATTATTTAATTGATGAACTAATGCAATTACTGGCCTCACCTCATATACAGGTTAGTTTAAAATTAATTAGTCTACGTATATCTACGTATATATGTATTCGAACGTAAGGCAAGATTCTTTAAGAAATGGAGCACATATAGAAATAAGTTGTTAAGCTTATTTAATAAACAAACAACAATTTTTGCATGAATGATTGTTAAAGCAATTATTAATCTCCAGTTAAAATTTAATGAAATTTTTTTTCAATTACTTGCGTCCAAACAAGGATTATAATTAAAATATTGAAAGAAGATTGGGTTTCTTTTTTGAACGTTAACTAACCTAAGTTGACTTATTAGCTAATAATATAAAATCATAAAAATTCTAATATTAGTGGATCGATGTTATTGTCTAGAAATTTTTCAAATAATTTTATATGAAATTTTTATTAATTTTGTTTTGTTTAAAACTTTAGTCAATCCTTGTAGAATTGATATGAATTGGGGTTTTTCTTCTAGCTGTAGGTTTTGAAGATCGAGCTTTTCTTCTAAAAACTTCAAAAATGCTCTGAAATTTTTTAAAAACAAAGGAGTTTATGCTTTTCCTATGGAAAATTTTTCTTAAAGCCAAAGGGCAAACACTTAGTGGCTATATAGAAGAAGAATGGTCTAAAATTGCCGATTGGCGTAGAGGAAAGTGAACGTGGTTGATGCCCTGCTTTCAATTCGTTCAATGTGCTACCTAACAGGTTTTCAAATTGAAATGAAGTGGTGTGATGCAAAGTACTTGTTTGCAGAGACACCAAATTGATCAAAACAAACAAAAGCGGTAGATCTAAACGTCTACGTTTTATCTATAGCAAGCAAAAGTGCTTTTATTGGTAGACAAACAATTAATCCGTAAAAATCATTCTTTAAATATTTTCTTCATTTATTTTTTATAAAAGTTACGTAATCGCTTTTGTGCGATGGGCAGTTTTGAAAATAATTAAATCTATAGTTGAATACAAAAGTTTATCGTGAGCTATTGTATGCCTCATAAGGCGTGATCTACCTAAAGACCTTCAAAATCATACATGTTTTTTTAAATGTAAACTTTGAAGGTAAACTTTGAAAAAAAAAAAAAAAACGATATTAAAGATAAACGTTTATTGTCTTTAACACATACTAAGAAAAAAAAAAAAAAAAACAAATTAATTCAAGTTTAAACAATAGTCGTTAATAATAATATAAGAAAGAGTATTTAGCGCCTGACTGTCCAGCTAACAATTAAAGTTTACTTTAACCAACACCGTAATTGTCATATTAAAAATAAGTATTTAAATTAAATTGAACATCAAGACATTTTATCGCATAGCCCGTCGGCTGCTTCGAAATCATAACTGATCGTATTTTGCAAGTTATAGTTATTTTTATTATTATTATTATTATAATTTTAGACTAATGAAATAAATTCTTAGACTAAAAAAAGAAGAAGACATTGAGCACTAGCAACACAGGCTATCGGCTCTATAGTTATTTTTTATTTTAAAAATTTTATTGCAAATGCGTTCCCTTTAAGAGAGGTAAATAATGGTGACTTTATCGCAGCTATAAATTTGATGTCTTTATGAACTAATGATATTAATTTGATAGTTGATAAAATTATTTTGTTTGTAAAATTTCCTCGCATTCTATAGCGGATGATTGAATGGTATTGTTTGGCCCGATTGATTGCACACTTCTTCTCCTCATACAATCTCGTGTGCTATCCATTTGGTTAAAATTTTAAAGGGAATTTAAAAAGACACTTTTTAGAGCTTAGGTACGCCTATATAATATTTGCATAAACTTGCGTTTCTTCGTGTATGCCGGAAATTTCCATTCGAGTCTTGCTGTCCTAATGACGGAAATATTCAAATCGGAAATATTCAAGTCGTCAATATTCTTCTCTATAAATTTTTACATTTAAACTGTGAGTAACTAGTTACTCTTTATTTGATAGTCATTTAATACATACTATGTGCAAATTGACTTCTAAATGCACTGACGCAATGTAGTAAAAGACGAATACAAACAATAAATAAATTAACTATCAAAGGAATAAGATTCATTCTTATGATATTCAACAATGAGTTTAAACCGGAAGACCAATAGGATATTAAACATCTAAGAAAATTATATTCGGTCGTGACCGAATCTTTTATACCCATCACCGTTACTCTAACAAAGGCAAAAAAGAAATAAATTTTCATACTCTAGAAAGTGAAGCAGGTGTGGTTGATTTCTTCCATTTTCAAAATACAACTTTTTGTCGCATATGCGTATGGGCTTTGTAGGCGTGTTTTCGGAAACGTTTAAGTCCCTTTCAAATTCTTTTGCAAATTTCGTTGGCGACTATTTCATTTTCGTTAACAGAGTAATGGAGCAAACAGAGCGATGGACAGACGAACAGAAATTTGAAATAAATAGTTTGTGAGGTCTTTGATGTTTCTTTCTACGCCTTGTAAAGCTATTGAAAAATAAAATTTATATTTTGGTACACTGTAATATTGAGTAGGCGTGGTCAATTTTTTCCATTTTTATGCACAAATGCTACAGCATCGCCCATAGAATATGCTTTCAAATTTTTGTACATTTCTTTGTACGGAAGTGTTGCCAGTTTACGTGATGCTGTGGGCGTGTCTTTCGATAGATTTGACACATTTTCAATACAAAGCTGCTTGCAAGAATTTCCACTGTTTGGGCCAAATTTGAAGGCGATAGCTTTCTTTTTGAGGCCAGGAGAATGGTTACATATAACAGACGTAATATAGACGGACAGACGGACATGCTTCTATTTGATGCTGATATATATACCTTGAGTGTCAAATGTTTTGACAAAATGAATATACCCCTCATGCTTTGATGATGGGTATAAGAATTAGTGAATCATCATCCACTTGTTTTGTAGAGTGGAGAGAAGGAGTGGAAAGCAGGATTGCAAACAAATCTCTTTAAGTTGTAACATAAAGCCGATTGCAATGAAATGAAGCGTAATCATTGACATATGTAAATGGAAAAGAATATAAAACAAAGTATACACGAAGGGCAATAAAATTCAATAATATTCAATTCAATGAAAACGCAAATAGGTAATACTTTCTAATATTATTACTGATACCGTTCGATTGCAGTAAATTATTTAAATTTAATTTTTACATTACCGAGAAACAGACATTCAATTTAATGCGGCTAGTATTGCGAGCCACTTTAGTGTAATTAGCATTTATTGCTTGTCAAGTCTGAATTTTATTACCTAATTAAATGGCAAAAAGGCATTAAAACTATCGAGTAATAAAACTGTTTAGTGGTAGATTTGTAAAAGAGTTTCAAAGAGATTAATACTCTACAGTACAGTTCAAAGACCATCATTTATCATACGGCTACAATTTATTTACTGTTTGCCATAGTTGCAAGAACTCGGTAGATATCTTTCCTGTTTTTTAAATTTGTTTAGAATATTTGCTCATGATTCTGAGGAAACAATTTGGCCTACAGGTAATATTACTAATAATAAAGCAACATAAGCCGTTTTTTTTTTTTTTTTTTTAATTCCCGATAAATGTCTAGCAATAAATTGAATGAATATGTTAAAACCTGTTGAACGAATCAAAAAAAAAAAAAATTCTAATTCTAATATATTCATCTCGCTGGACATATAAGCCACAAAACCATTGGCTTAGTCCATCTTCACTCAATAATCCAAAAAAAAAAAAAAAAGAATAAAAATTTATTCATCTTTAAGTTTGGTGCAAACAACCTCAAGCGTTGCAAAATTTTTTTAAAAAAATATTTAATTTTAAAAATATTTAAAAAAAAATTACGGTGAAAATAAGTACACGTCGTTGCATTTCTACTCTACTGACTTACTGAGTATCCTTATCTAACTCTTGTCTATCTATAAGTTTTTCCTTTAACTAATCCATGCCCATATTATACAAATTAAGAACTTATTGATGAAAAGAACTTGACTCGATGTGAATCTTGAATGCTCTTAAATTCATATATGAAATTCGCTAAATCTCTATACCCAGCATTAGAGAGGAATGCCTGAAAGATTCTACTTCTATTAGTTATTGATCGATTCAGTTCGGTTCTATTCACAAGAAAATTTAAAATTAAAAGAAGAATTGCATGAAATATCTCCTAAAGTCATACATGATTATTGAAATACACTTGATAAGCACCTAGCAATCAACAATTTCGCTTCAATTCACTTGTGGTTCATTCTTCTTTGTCAAAGCGATATTTTCTGTTCTCTTTCAACTTTTGCTTATGGACGTAAAAATATTGTCTATTGTGTAGTTATCTCGATTTCATTTGTTCATAAGACGCGTACTTGTTCGCTTTTGCGGGCAGTTTTAATGAGCGTGGAGAATTCATTTTCGCCTAGGATTAGAATGCTCACAAAATGACACAAACTTGCCGCATCTTGGCATTAGATTTTTAATTCGATTTTCTACATCAATGCGTGCATTCGACTTTTAAGCACGTTCGTAATACTTGTGAGCTTTCCAAAATAGTAAAGCAGTAAAATCGCATTGTTTGGGTTATTCAGTACACCGGCATAGGTTAGCGAACATTATATCGTAATTTAAAAAAATATATATTTTTTTAGTTTAATTAACTTATCTTTTAAGGAAAGAGGAAGAAGAAAATATATTTTTCTTACAATGAATTTTATATGCGATCACGCCTAAAAGCTTGAGGCACTTAAGATTTATGTGTCTAAGAATTCGCAATTTCTTTTAAAAGTCCCTACAGTTGCTTATGGTTGCATAAAATTGATTTACAAAAAAAAAAAAAAAAATATTTTTTTTTAAAAATAATTTCTGCCAGTGAAAGGATGCTTTCAAGTTCACTTTAACGCACTTAGCTTGTCACTGCCAAAGACGGTTGATTTGCTATCCATATGAGGGAGGTTGTTAAGACTATTCGGAAATATTGCATTGGAAAAAATGTCAGCGCAACGGACTATCCCGCTATTCTGCTTGAAAAAAATGAGGGAATTTGAAAAAAAAAAAAAAATGAGACAAAACGAGTGTGTGTTT